TGAAGCGGTCATTCCTGCCGAGATTGAAATACCTTCTTCGAGGTATGGACTCATGACCGAGGACTTGAACAGAGTGGAGTTGGTGCACGACTTGGATACCATTGACGAGATCCGTGAACGAGCCAAGATCCGTTTACAGACATATCAACAAATGGTGGCAAAAAGCTATAATAAAAATGTTCGGGCAAAGGTGTTTCAGAAGGGAGATTGGGTCTTGAGGAGAGCATTTGGCAATGAAGCAGCCGGAAAATTCAGTCCTAATTGGGAAGGACCTTACAGAATCATTGACGTCATCGGTCAGGGGGCATACTGCCTGGAGTCAATCGATGGTAAACAAGTCCCTCGAAGCTGGAATGCGGTACATTTAAAGCGTTTTCACTTTTAACAAAAGTTTCTTTTGTTTTTTTTGCATTTCTGTCCCTATTACTAAATAACTAACTTGGCCGTCGGAGGGCCGTTGGCTTAAGGCCAGCGACCGACCCTGACGATAATTATAAATACAGGAAGGCACACAAAAATGGCCAAGTCGCAGGTAATTAGTCACAGTTCACATAATACAGTAAATACAATTCATCATTCACTAACTTGACCGTCGGAGGGCCGTTGGCCCCAAACCAACGGCCGATCCCAACGGAACGGTATCATCGTAGGACTATGACAGGTTAAGATCAAAATACCAGGTGACCGAGTACCAGAACAACAGATAGAACATCAGATCTGCTCACGACAAAAAACATCAACATACAGGGGACATGAGGCTCATTATGGGGAAACCATGAATGAAGTTCCATGAAACCGAATAAAGTTTTGGCCAAAACACAAAACACAAAATACAAAACACATATATGTTCCTCTACGCACACGGGGCAGGTTACATACGAAAACGACATATATAACAACACACACGTCAACATAAACGTCAATCAGGTGACCAAAAGGAGTAGCAACGGAATCACCAAACAACATGGATTTGGCTTGGATAAACCACCAAGCACAATATCCATAAATCCACAGGAAAATATTAAAACCATGATGCAGGGGCAGTAATAGCAGAGTGAGTCTTGGAAGCAAAAGCAAATGTTTAAAGATGAGAAAGTAAAGGGGAAGGGGTGCAGTTAGTTATCTCGAGAGCGTCTGGAATCAGCCTCGTTATCGGACTGACCAACGTCAAAACCATCTTCTCCAATCGGGGGATCCATCTCATCTTGAAGCTTTGACCAAGTAGCAACGTCCTGTTCCGCAGTCCAGTTTGACGTCTCGCCTGCGAGGAATGAAGTCATCAGTTCACCTCTGGTTTTCCAAGCATAAAAACAGGCCGCGTCAGTGACCTCTTGTTTCTTTTTCCTCCCATACGCTTCCAACGACTTAATACGGGTTTTTAAAGTTGAGATTTGAGTTGTCAAAATCGAACTATCGCTACGGAGACTTTGGATCGTTCGAGCATCAACATCAGCACGAGCGTGAAAACTTTTCTCTTTTCTTTTTAATTCGTCCACAGCCTTTTCTAGCAGAACCAACCTTTCTGCAGCAACAAGGCTAGCTTGAACACTCTGCCAGGTTAAAACAAATTTCTCTCAAGAAGGATTAAATTTCTGCAGGTACCAAGCACTTATAAAACGACAAGATACCTGGAAAGCAAAAGCCGAGGAAGCCAGTACCAGGCCAGCTGAGGACACATCCTTGAATACAACGGACGAGGAGGAAAGCAGGACTTGAGGCATTTCACTTCCCATCACAAGAGCATCCTTCAAACAGCAAAAGTCACGAGAGAAAGAAGCGTTCATCTTCCCACCAGAGTCAGGATTGGTTGTGGCACTCACTGGACGAGGAGGAGCAGATTTCATCTCTGTGTTGGGGCATTGTGAAGTTTTGGAACAACCAGAGGCCAACTTGGATGGGATTTTCTTCTTTCTCGAAACCATGTTAAGAAGATCGTAATCAGAAGGTATCGGCCGTGTGTTAGACGAAGAAACAGCTGCGGCAAAGGAAAATATATAAACATTCTAAATAAAGAAACATTTGACGAATAATTGAGATAGCTGAAACCAGTACCAGCGTGTTGTGCAGAACGTTTTGCTGGAAGAGAACAGGAATCCTGACCACCGGGAAACACCATCTGAAGAGGAACGAAAGCACTTCCATTTTCACCTCCACCCCTCGAGGTTTCTGATTCATGGTCTGAATCATCTACAGAGACCGCGCGTGAATCTTGGGCATCGTCAAGGACGCTCTGAATATTACGGCGAGAGCGCCTTAATCCGACGGACCGAGAATGGTCAGGAGTGGGAGACATACCTTCATTATCAACCACTAGATTCCCAAAGGTCCGTTCGGCAGTAGTTAAAGATAAAATTTTAACAGTCCTTCCTTCAGAGTCTGGACCATAGCTCAAGGGGATAGTCTTCCTATCTAAAGCAAAAAAAAAAAAAAACAGTGAAAACGGTAATTTTGACGTATTGCAGACCAGCCGTATAGCGATTAAAAGCATTTGAAATTCATATGTAAAGCAAGGAGTTGTCAAGATACCTTTGTGTAAACTCTCTTCAAGAAATGCGCCCTCAGAACTTAGGGAATCTTTTTGCACAAAGAAGAACTGGCTCATCCAGCCACGATCATTAGCTTTGTCCGCCCTCAATATCAGCGCCTCGCGAGCATCTTTGACGGCCAGGGTAAACCGACCAGCTCCAGAAGAACGAAGATCATAGGTAAAACCCAGATCTTCGAAGGAGAAGGGGATGCTGTGTTTTTCGCTTAATACTTCTAAACCACGCAGAACCCTCCATACTTGTGGCATTACTTGGGAAGGAGAAACCTTGACAAAGGCTAGGAAATCTCTAACTAAGGAAGAGAAAGGGAATTTCATACCAATCTTGAAAGGATACATGAAGAAGTTGGCCCAACCATCACAATGCCAATCAACCCGTTCGTTAGCGGCCGGAAACCGGATGGATGCATGCGCTGGAAATCCGGAACCATTCTTGATGGCTTCGATATGATTCTCCGAGAGTTTAGCCTGTTTTGCATTCTTCGGATCAAGGATGTGTTGAGGGATGAACTGTTGAGACGCCATAGATTCTCACGATGGATCTCTGCAAGAATCAAGCGAAAGGTATTTCACAAAAGAAGAGTTATGGCTGAAAAGAGACTACTCTGACAGAGGGTTGGTTACTCGAGGAAGGAGGCTGACGGTTTTGTCCATTTCGAGGCAGCATCAAAACGTTTAAAATTCAAAGAAGTAATCGACCGGTTGGATTAAAGTGGTAACGATTACTACTTCAAATTTTAGGGGCAATTGTTGGGCCCGGATCTGTCAAGCGAATCGGCCCATTACATTAGATTTGAGTTTACTGGACGGATCGGCCCACGTGACCTTAAGGAGTCCACAGAATCCGGCTTGGTCAAATGACATGACGAAGTGGATAAGAAGTTGAGGAGAAAATGGAGGAACAGATCCCGATTTAGTAGGGGAAGGCTACCATTTCGCCGGGTAGTTCGTCCACATGGGGAAAAGGGTTGGAAATTCTATTTTAAATAGGCTGGCGGTAGAAGAAAGAGAGAACTCACTGAATTATCTATGCACTTGTAATACCACTTTTCGAATCATACATCCAGATTAATATACTCTCATTCATTAGCTTTCGGTTCTTATATTGTGTTTCTTGTACGATCCCTACATACATATAATTTTAGATTGGTTTAATTCTTGCTTAAACATATATGCAATTCAACGAATCTACACTAGCTTTTAGTCTTTTACATACTTCACAACTATATACACAAAATGGATATAGCCAATGTACTTTTATGTTTAGAGCGTATTTTCTGTTTAAATGTCCTGACCCACCCACTAACATATACAGAGTATTTGAGGAAATAGAAATCAGCAATATTTAAGAAAATTTTAGGCAAACTTTAATTAATACGGAGTATAACTTATTTAAGTTTTTTTAGCCCGACTTGTTTGATCTCAGTAATATGTAAGGGTTACTACCCAGCCTCCTACTCCAGGGCTAAGTAGCACTGGTACGGAAATGGAAACGGGGACGGGGAAACCTTGATCTCAAAAATTAAGGGTACGGGTACGGCGAGAAAACGTCGCACTAAAAACTAAAGTATTAGTAATAAAACTATATGACGATTAAAATAGGTCACGTTTACATGCATTAATTAAGACCTGTCTATTACTCCCTCCGTCCTGTGAAGATGTTCCCACTTTCCTTTTTTGGATGTCCCATAAAGAAGTTCCCCTTTCCTTAAGGGTATGTTTGGTTTGGGGTTATCTCACATTGAGGCCGGAATGTGATGCCTGGAATGTTAGATACCCATGTTTGGTTCACGGTTTTGAGAAAAGATCGGGAAAGTTACATTCCCAGGAATGTAATATGGAGGGGAATGTTATACCCTTCCATGCCTTAGGTTATCTGACATTCCCGGGGATGATCTAATTTTTTCCCGAAAATACCCTCAATTAATTATCGCCTTTCATTTAATTTCCCTATGTATTCAACTTATATCAAATTTGAATTTTTGTGATTTTATAAAACTTTTAATGTAGTTTCTAAATGTGTAACTTTTATTTACTAAAACTAATCTTATTATTGACAGGGATCAGTTAATTTTAGGGGGTTTTCCTTAAATATTACTAAAATATAAGTTATATATAAAAATCGGCCGTCGCCAATTGAGGCGGTTCCCGGTGGAATTTTTTGACGAAAGTTTTTGAGCATCTTCTTTATTAAGTCTAGTTTACCCATACCAAATTTCAGCTAAAAATTCAACCGGAAAGGCAGTCAAATGATTTTTTGAAGATAACTGCGCAGTTAAACAGCGCAGTACATTTCGGAAAATCATTTGGCTGACTTCTTGATTTAACTTTTAGCTGAAATTTGATATGGGTAAACTTTATACGGAGTACTTTATTCACAGCCGCACACTCCCGCACAGTTTAATACTACAGCCGACAAGGCCACAACTGCAATCGAAGGGCGAAGGGCTATTACCTGGCGGGCTGGAAGCTGGAGGCTGCAATCGGCGAAGGCTGGCGTGCTGGCAGCTGCAATCGGCGAAGGATGAGGACTAAGGGCGAAGCTGGCTGGAGGCGAGACGGAACTGCATCTCTGCGCGAAGCTGGCTGGAGGCTGACGATTAAGGTAAGGTTGGGCAGCTGCGTTTTTTTCCTAAATTTAAATTTTGGGCCGGAAACTTTTGTATGGGCTGATCTGGTTTAATACGGGAATTAAACGTGGTTTAATACGTACGTGTTTTATTCGGTAACTTGAATAAAAAATTTGGTCAAAAATTTGACAAAAAATACGTTGACTTTTATAAAATGTGTAAATACGTATACGTGTATAGTACAACATCTCTTAGAAAAATTCGGGTTAAAAATACATGTCTTATTTTGAATGATTAAATTATTGTACTAGTTTTTAGAGCATAAAAAACATATAGCGCATAAAGGATAATCAACATACACACATTCAAATATAATATCTCATTACTCCACCAAAAAAGAAATAATGATCAAGTCCAAAATAATACGTAACATTTAAATTATATACTTCATAAAATAACTTATAATAAAAAGAAATAAGAGTGTACACATATTGAAGTAGCAAATCACATTACTACATCAAAGAATAATTTGTAATTGCATAAGTCGATGACAAAAGTAAAAATAGTACAGAGTAATTAAGTTCAAGATATAATTTTGCAAAGTAATGTCAGAAAATATGGCATAATAACGATAGAATGAGGCCAAATTACATCATGATCATCTTTATATAATCATCAAATAACACTCAAGTTAAACTCATCATTTTCACCTAGATGACAGATGACAATAGAAAGTTGTGTGACATACTGCTGCACTTATTATTGTTTATGTGTAAAAGTTTATAATAAAATGTCAGGTTTAGAAAACCCTTAATTTTGATATGCTTGTTTGGAAAAGAACATCACAAATATAATACGTAGTAGTATTCTAGATTTTAGTCTTTTGAATGCTAGCTTTAATCATCATGCAATTAATTTTAGTATTTAACAAATGTATATTTTATATTGTAACAATACAAAAACACGGGGTCACGGGGATGAAGTTTTCTTTTTTGCTTCTAAACTATTGTTGATCTCCTATTCATGTGATGTATTCATTCAAGTGATCAAATGACGTTTTTATGTTTTGTAAAATACGAGAAATTTACGTTTTATATTGGAAGTGGAGGTTTTTTTCCTTTTTAAACGGATCGACATTATTTTTTCGTTTTCAACGCGTTTTTTTGTTCAAAAAACGGTACGTGTTTAAAACGCGTTTTAAACGGAAAAAAGCCAACTAGGTCTGGCTTTTCCTCAAGCGTTTCCGGATCTACACCCGACCCAAAACTGGGCCGAGACGCGGTTCGACGTTTCCTGGCCGTTTCCGCGCGTTTCCGGGACATTTCGGAAGCGGAACCTTGGACCATTTTGGCGTTTCCGTGCTTCCTAGCTCCAGGGTACCCGAATAAACTCAAAAGCCCACTGGATAGTATATGAACAAATTAAAAACAGCAGTTTGTTTGATCTCAGCAATAAATGCACTTTCCTACCCGCCCTTCTGCTCCATGTTACCAGGGCTGGTCCTCAAATGTTTCAGGGCCTAGGGGCGAGTCTTTGTCATATGCCTAATCTAAAAAAAAATCTTTTTTTTATCTAAACTAAGATGTAAAATAATAAGTTTTCAAAAAAGTTATAATACAGAAATGATTTTTATAATTCATAAATAAGTAGAATCATAGTTACAAAATACTGTAAAAAATTAAAGAAAAAACTAAATTTCAGTACTCCACAATTCATTCATTCATTTATCGTTGAATTAAATAAGTAGAATCATAGTTACAATATATCAACACTCAACAGCCAACAAATGAACTAATTATTTATCAACTATTCATTCGATTATAAACATTAAACAACTAGGAATTGCAGAATTAATGAATCAATGAAATAATCAATCAAAGACTAAAAGAGTTAAGGAATGAGGAGGTGGGAGGAGTACCTGAAGCGTGATGCCTGAAAGTGAGAAGGGTCGATTGACTGAAGCGCTGAATTGTAGCAGGTAGGGTGACGAGTGACCAAGTGACGACTACTTACTATACAGAGACCAAGCAGGGGAAGGGCAGGCCGGGGGAGGCGGTCTGTCATTTGGCTCCGTCTCCTTTTGTCATTCGTGGGCTGGACAAAAATATTGATTTAGGGCCCAAAATCAGCCTATTAAAGGACATGTTTCAAACGCAATTGTTATTCTAAAAAGGTGAAATTGACACTAATAATCTCTACTTTTAGACATTTTACAAAAATAATCCCTACTGGAAAAGTTCACAACAATAATCCCAACTAGATAATTGTTTCACAAAAATAAACCGGAAGTTAATGGTGTTAACTTTTCCATTTTTTTTAAAATTTAAAATAAAGTGAAGCAAATATATATATATATAAACATTAATAATTTTTTGTTTTTGTTTAGTCTTATTTCTACTATAAATTTAATTTAATAATAACTATTTTTTTGTAAAATATTATAAAAACGTTTGAACACAGACTAGTATTCATTTTAGTAATATTTAATATAGAATTACTAAAATTAATTTTAAATCTCTATTACAATGAAATAAAATTGAATATGAATAAAATATTGATTAGAACTAAAAGAAAAACGAGAATTTGATGAGTATGTTTTTAAATATTTCTATTACATTTTATGAAAAATAATGACTATTAAATTTAATTCATAATAAAAGTAAATATAAGGACAAATATACGAAGTATATAATATTGTTGATGCTTGTACATATTTTTGCTTCATTATATTTAAAATGCAAAAAAAAAAAAACGGAAAAGTTGATACCGTTAACTCCGGTTTATTTATGTGAAAGAGTTAAATAGTTCGGATTATTGTTTTAAACTTTTCCTGTAGGTATTATTTTTGTAAAATGCAGAAAAGTATGTATTATTTATGTCAATTTCGCCACATATTTATTATCAAACAAGGAAACAAAACATTCATTTTTGGACCATACACAAAAAGTAAGACAACAAAAAAGGAACGGATGGAATATGTACTAACTTTCATCCTCTCACTCTCCATATTCATCACCTCCCATCTTCAAGTATGGATATTGACGATATGCAATAAAATTAGTATATGGATTGCATCATACTTTTAGAAAGTATTACCAGGTTATTTCCTTGCGAAGACATTTTCTAGCTTTTCTCTATGAGAGAGCTAATCATTCTTTCGGAAAGGAGAAATCACGTGAATACCTAAGGTCAAATGCTTGGACCGACTTCGGGTGGGTCGAGGTCGGCCTCAACGAAATAATGACTTAGTGCTCCCGAAGACTATTTTGTTCGTGAATGTTGATACCCCAGAGGTACATGGAAATATACTTCATCACCATTTTTAGGTATAATAGTGCACTTCACATGACCAAAAGTGGATATGTTCCTATTTCTCATAGGTAGACCATTTTTAGTGGAATACATGCATGCATGCATGCATACATACATACATATGAATGCTCTTTGTTTTTTCTGCTATGCTCTTAACACCATAAATTACATTTGTGAATGTACATACATATGCACGCACGCACCCACCCACCCACACACACACACATACATACATACATACATACATCCATACATACATCCATCCATACATCCATACATCCATGCATGCATGCATGCATGCATACATACATACATACATACATACATACATACATACATACATACATACATACATACATACATACACACACACATACATACATACATACATACATCCATCCATACATACATACATACATACATACATACATACATCCATGCATACATGCATACATGCATACATCCATCCATCCATACATACATACATACATACATACATACATACATCCATACATACATACATACATACATACATACATACATACATACATACATACATACATACATACATACACACACATACATACATACATACATACATACATACATACATACATACATACATATACACACACACATACATACATACACACACACACACATACATACATACATACATACATACATACATACATACATACATACATACATACATACATACATACATACATACATACATACATACATACACACACACACATACATACACACACACACATAGGGGTGGGCAAAAATACCGGAAAATCGGTATACCGCACTTACCGTACCGAAAAATACCGAAAAATACCGGAATATTGGTATACCGTCATTTTCGATATGGTATCATACCGTACCGATTTATTTCGGTACGGTAACGGTAAATGTTTTCAAATACCGCGGTATACCGGTATAATACCATACCGACTCCCTACCCAACAATGATTACTTTTAATTCTAGAATATTGTAAAACTCCATTACAATTATGAAGCCCAAAATTAATACTTACATTGGTTACAAATCTCCAATGACTAATTAGTAATGTACTAATGTCCAAAAACAAGTTAATCTTGTTCCAAAAACTTGCGAGTTGCGATGACTGAGTCGCTGAGTAGCTGATGAGTGGAGAGAGGTACACTTATGTGACAGGTGTATCTACATAGGGATTCCACGAGTCGAGGCACACAATTTTGTCCGAAAGTCTTATTCATTTTTTTAAAAGAATATAAAATGACTAAATGCACAATATCATACTACCTCCATCCCAAAATGATTAGTCAAATCCAAAACTTTGATGATTAATATATATTTATTGGAAATTATTTATAATATAAAAATTATATGAAAATGTTCTTTGTGAAAAGTACTTTCATAAAAGTATAAAATTTATAACTTTCATAATATTATACTAATCAAAACCATGGTCCAAATTTTGAGATTTGGCTAAACATTTTGGGACAGAGGTAGTATTAGGAATAAATGATTTTTATCCATGTTGTTTGAATAATTTTATTTATTATTGTTAGAGATCACTATTGATTTAATTATATCTACATCGTTCAAGTTATTTTAGGAGAATGTGTTGTTTTTTAATACGTGGCATGTTGAACT